CAAGCCAGGCTGATTTTCTCACAAAACTTTTGTGAGGTTAAAAGTGAAGGCTGGGTTTGAAAAAAAAAAAAAAAAAAGAAGGAAAAGGAAGCCTCAAAAAGCCAACTGCTGTGGAATCTATTGAGAGCCATTTGTCATTGTCATTGTAAAGTCTGCATGATCCTCCAGTGTAGTGAGATCATGTGTAGGCTGACGGAGCAGAAATACTATGGATTTCCACAGTGATTAAACAAATCGACACCGGGAACATCGAGACCGCCACAGACTGTAGGGTTGTAGTTCCACTCTTGAAAAAAAAAAACAAAAAAACCAAACAGGAATCTCCAGTCTTTTTGTTGCCTATGTGGTAAGGCCCCTTCACGGTTCACTCTGATGGACAGATGAGAGATGGTGAATTGTGAAGTGTCTGCCGAACAAAGACAAGAACGGTGGGAGTTCCTTGGGCACAAAAGATCTAATTTTAAACCCCTTGGAGCAGACATCCTGGCACTGATCCTCATCGTGGCTGTCTTGCCTGCGAGAGACCCCAAAAGCGTCATATATAACTCCTCGTGGTATAAAAGTGGTCTACTTAAGGCTAGCTGAAGCTTTAGTTAAATGCGAATTCCCATTAAGATTGCTAGAATCTCAGTGGAAATACACATACAATTTGAAGTGCAAATACAACTTTTTTTGTGTGTACAGGCTGAACAAAAAGGTAGATAAATGTCCTCTTGATCCATGCTGACATTTTGGGGGACCAAGGCTTTAAAAAAGACGCTGGAAAATTAAAACCTGCCACACAGCCAAATGCTGTTATATTTTGGCTGTGGCCGGCGAATTAGTCTACTCCACCGGGCCATTGGCAGGTAACCAATCATTGTATGGGCCTGCGATTCTGTTCTAAAACCAATCTAGAAGGTAAAGTAATGAAATAGGCAGTAATGGATTCACACGCTGCTGAAGCCAGTGGATAAAAAGCGTGGATTTCTCAACTCGCTTAACACATTTGACACAGATACAGCGCCATTTCCAGAAGTAGAAACATCTTTCATCATGATACTGGGTTTTAATTGAGGAGTCTTTGTTCCGCAAAGTCTTTGTGAAATAAACTGAGGACAAGAGGACCCCATCTGTGTCTGACAGGTTATTATAAAAGTGTTGCTCTTTTTGTACATTTTTGAATGCCTTGTGAGAATGTCATTTAAGAAAAAAATAACATAATGTTGAACTTTATGTCAACAGATTCACCTCAAATCAAGTTTCCCAGCTGCAGAAAAATTGCTGCACTTGTCCTCTGCTCTTCTCGTCCTCTCCCCTGATCCCCCTCTTCTCTGTTTCATCTGCTCTCCTCTCCTCCTCTCTGCTGCTCCGCTCAGCTTAACTCCACCTCTCCTCTCTTCCCCTCTCCTGTCCCCTGCCCCTGCTTTTTTTTCTCCCCCCTCTCCTCTGCTCAGCACTTCTTATGCGCGCTCTCATCCCTCCTCTCAGCTTCCTCTCTTCCTTTTCGTCTCTGTCAGATTTGTCCTGTGGCTCCAGAGGCTTAATTTACTCACCAAACATACTAAATCGCACACATGCACACATGCACAGAAGAAGAAAAACCCACACACCGTCTCCCAGACCTTCAATGTATTCTGGGCTACATTCAGCCTGTCAGAACCGAAACGAGAGCCGCGTCCAACCCTCGCACCCTGCACCTTTCCAACAAATCTATGCTTCTTTTCAACACCATGTCTAAGATGAACCTTATCACACATTTTAACTGACAGTCTAGATTTCATCAGCACTCAATCACAGAGGCCCAACACAGATCAATCATCTCATACCACTAATTATCAATTAGACAGCCGGGTAATCTATTTCTGGTCATCGGTGGGGAGAGGAATTGTAACTGGTTATACCGAAGGCTAGTCTACGGCATGTGACCAAGTAATTAACCCAGAAGGCTAAAAATAGCTAATTTAATTTATATTGACGAGCCATGGAAATGTAGTGCTTTGTTCTTGCAACATGGCTAAATTGAAATTTATCAGTCATCCCTTTGGCAGCGTCTAGTAATTTAATGCTGGTCATCAGTGTTAAATCGGACAGGCCGCCAGGCACACTGAGATGGTCCTCCAACCAGCTTTTACAACCCATCACCGGATATCAGAGATTGATTGGTGTGGTCTACAATTCTGACCCTTGATTCATGGTGTCCATTAATATGCCACTGCTGATCATCTACCTGTATTCGTGGTACTGGTGGAGTGTTTTGGTAATCATTCTCTGTTGTCAATTAATAGGTCAGTTTAATAATAAGCTTTATTGGTGAAGCACAAAAATGGTACCCGCATTGACAAACACAGGGCTGTCTTCCTCCGCTAAAGACACACATACACAGACATGCTTCTGGACTGTGAGTACACCGTGTACACACACCGAGGCGGACGAGCACTGAACATTAGCGCAACACAGCCTCTCTAACACACATTTAATCCTGTGGCTTCTGGCTGGTTTCTCAGGGAGGGAGATGTGTCTGTCGCAGAGTCAGCCTCTTGATCATAAATACTTTTAACTTACAGAGAGAGAGAGAGAGAGAGAGAAAGGGGGAGGTAAGAAAGGGGGGAAAAAAGGGATGGGGCAAGAGTAAAAGAGTCACGTGTGGGGGATGAGTGTGTAACATAACACACGCCAGTTACATTCATCCCTTGCTTTGAATTTAACAGGCTCTTACCCTTGTCCTCTCATCTTTTTCTGTTCTTTTATCTCTGCATCACTCACCGCTCTTGTGTCTGCGTGTGTTTTTATGCATAAACATACTTGTTTTGTTCATTTTGTACTGTTGCATCCTCAACTCCATCTGTCCCTCTTGACTTTCATTCACCTAATCCTCTCCTGCATTTCCAACCTCTATACAGGGAATTTGTAATTACTTGTTTTTTCTTGCTCTTTCCACCCAACTCATCTCCTGTCTTCCCTTCTCTTGCTTTACTTTCTACGTCTAATACCAGTGCCAGAAGTAGTGCAACGTAACCTAGCGCAAGGAGAAGTTAAGGTGTGGCTTTGTCTTTGACACCGAGACCACATTTCAGGTCATACTTTCACATTCACCAGGTGGCTTTAGTGCCATAAATGTAACCACACAACATATCTGGATTACATTAGTATGAACAGAATGCAAAACATGGTAATGCCTCCAACAATAGTTTTCCCCCAAAGCTTATTCTCCCAATGCAAAATAGTCCCCTATTAATGTAATGCCCCTAACCCTGATGTGAGTCACTTCTCACTATATGCTTTTTCATATTTAATTTGGGCTTTCTGTACTCCTTGTGTCACTTTTTGCCTTAAACATCCTTGTATTTTGGTGTTACACAAGTAGCTGTACTGGGAACTGGTCTGCTTTGCGGTGTATATTCATATTCTTCATATTCAGCTGCTCCCTACTTTTTTTCTCTCCATCCATCTTCCACCCATAATCACCAATTCTTCTTCCCCCCTGCCTTCTCCTACCTACACTCACCCACAGTGAATTTGTAATCACCACCTCTCTCGCATCCCACATCTGGCACCTCTCCTCCTTCTCCTCCCTCCTTCCATCACCTTTCTTTCTCTCTTTTCCATCCTCCATTAGTCTTGCCTGTCCTCTTCCCCTCTCCTCCCTCCAGCCCCTTTTACCATCGCAAATTTGTTGTGAGTGTTGATTGTAATAGGTGGCTACTCACACGGTACAGCTCTGTTAATCTCTCACGTGTGTGTTCTGGCGTAGCCGACAAACAGGGTACACATTTTAGTCCTGAACACAGATTGCCATCCAAGTGTTGTGTTTTTAAATTTGCTAGAGAGCCAAATCTACTCATGTATTTCCGATTTGTGTTCGCCTGCTATGATTTTAGAAACGTAAGCCTGCACATATTGAACGGGCTGTTAAATTGAAAGAAGTGATAATTTTGCCATGCAAATTGGAATAAAGAGAGACTGCTCTCCAGTTAGCTGTTCCAGCTGTTCCAGGGCCCTGTGGAGCTATAACAGCATTTTATATACAATTGCTCTTTTCCTCTAAGGTCTAGTGCAAATGTGCATTTACAGACTGGTGTCATGAGTGTAATAAGTATA